ATGTGCAATCATTTAAAGTGACATCTGAAAGCGTTAGAGTGCACTTTATGTGCAACGTTGTAAAAGGTTTAGTGTTGTATGATGTGGTTTTTATAGTGATGTTATGAGATGAGCAGAGGAATAGAGGTGTGTGTAGAGAAATGGGGGGGTGCATTTCCACAAGGCGCGTATCGAGGCTTGCTTCATTTAGGGGAGGAGTCAGAAACAAAGCCTCGCCACCTGATTACCACCTGATGCTTCAGGAAGTGGTTCAGGTCGCCTGGAACTTCAGCAGCCATTCAAACAGCCTCAATGTTCAGTCAAGATGTGTTTGGAGGAGAGCTGCTGTCAGTTAGATAAAGTTTGGATAGATTCTAAGAATAGATCAGTTTAAAAAAACCAACCCGTCTAGTTGTTAAAACTATTTTGGTTAGATTAAACAATGTAATGATCAAAATCTGAGCAAGCTGCCGGTTACAGATGAACAGATGTATTAAGTGGTATTGCTTTCTGCAAATTGCCACCTTGCTAGTGGTGTCAGCTGTAAGACATTGACTTCCACTCCTGAGGTTGATGGCTCAAGACTTACCTCAGATTTCTGCAAGTTACCATGAAACACAACCAGTTTTTTGGCTTATGTGACTAATTTATATTGCCCTAGGATATCTATAGATCGGGTAAAAACACTGGCTATTGGTTGGTTTAACCAAAAGATTGGTTGAACACATAACTTCTTACCAGATTAAAACCAAAAACTATGGAAAAACTATTATTTTTGAATAAAAATGACTAACACCTTTCATTTTGTTCATCTTTGCCCAATTTGCACAAACATTTTCACTGCCTGCTTGAGCTAACTTCACCAAAATTGCAGAAAAACAGTGAACCTTAAATGATTGTTCTCAACTTTGATTTTTTACACACAAATAAAACCTACAACATATCTAATTATACAGAACAATCTTTAACAATTTTAAAGGAACTTATAAATGGTCAAAAAAGAAGAAAAAAATTTGCAAAAAATCCCAGATTGTTACCAACTGTAGTTCTGCACTCCACCAGTAGGTGGTGACATGTTCGTATGATGCTTCATGAACTGTGGGGATCGGTGATAACTTGACTCCGTCAGATGGATTTGCTCCGCATATCCATCTGGAAACCTTCCGTTGAAGTAATTTTGGGAAGCGGCGAAAATACTGGCTAGCTGATTGGCCTATGTTGGTGATAGACGGGCCAAATAAACCAATCAGATCAACGGAGCATATGACGTACTAACAGAGCGACGACGAAGAGGAGCCAATTGATAGATCAAATTCTTGCCGAAACCAGTTGGGAGAAGAGCAAAAACATCTTTTCCTCTGAGAAAAGCCTCCAGAGCAGTGTTTTGCTCTTC